TTACTCTATTTATTTGTACTGCAGTTTTCACTTTAAATTTGTTTTATTTGTTTTGATAGCTTTCTTTATTGAAGAGGATTTGTCAAGAAGAGTCAAAGTACTTTACTGTTAGAAGTTGACTGTTTTACTGCGCGCTTTTTCATAATCTTTCATTTACTAATAAAAAAGTATTGGATTTGATGTCGTGAGAGAAAAATGTAAAAATCAACTGGATTTGAAAATATCTTTTTTGTGTGAAGGAATTAAGCAGAGAATGGTCATTTGTATTTCAAACAATAAAAAAATTTCTTTTGGTTACTGCTCAGATCATCAATTTAAATGTTTTGCTGAAGAAGAGCATTAAAAAATTATCTCTAGGCTTTTCGAGATTTTTGAACGGTTGCAATCAGCTGGGGCAACATCGTTACCGGATTCAGCTTCTGTGCAACAAGCGAAAAAAAAGGAACTGTCAGTGAGTTCGAAGAAAGATGATCAAAAAGAAAGTGAGTCAGAAAAGAAAAGTAAGAAGGAAAGGGAGAATGAAGGAAAGCATAGTAGTTCCAAAAGTGTTGGCAAACGCAAGGAAAAGGAGAAAGTTACCGACAAAGAAAGGAGAGAAGCTCGCGTTGTTAAATCTAAAGTGAGTTGATAAAGCGTATTTTCTACTGCTGCAAAGAGATGCTGATAGTTTTTCAAATTTATTGCTTTTTACTTGAGTTTAGACAAGTTAAAATCTTTGTTTTGCGAATCTATTCCAGTTGTTAAGACAGAGCGTAATAATTACTGGTTGTGTTTTAAAAAGTTTTGCTGAAGTATTTGGTGTTTTATGAAGTGGTATTAGATGTTGCTTTTTCAGCCTGCCTTCCATCATCATACGACTTCTAGATCTCCATCGCGAGAAAGGATTCATTCAAGGAAAAGGACGGATTCTAAACCAGAAACAAAAGAAAAAGGTCAGTGTTGTTATATTACGTTTTACTACCATAGCAATTACTCAAGAATATGTTCATTTCACATCAGACTTAATATAGTAAGAGCTAGTAAAAGTCAGAGAAAATTCGAGCTGTGTAAATGAGATTAATTTTCTAACAGTCAACACAACCATTAGCAACCGTTTTTGATCTGGAATTTTGAGTGAGACAAATCGCAGTTTGATTTGACGGACAGCTGGCAGTAATTACTGTTTACGGCCTGCCGAATAACATATAGTTTATTAAAAAAAAAAGTACGATTTTTATTTACTCGGTTAGTCTTGATGGGTTTATTTGTAGCACATTGTCACATCCTTAAAGTGCGCTTGAAACTTCTGAATAACTTTCTTTTTGACAGAATTTTTTGGGGAAAATAAGTGCATTTTTTTGTGAAAACAGTAACTGCCTTTATCGTTTAGAAAGTTCATTTGCAATATCTGAATTTGAGACTTTGAAATAATTCAGTAACGATAACATTAACACTGTACATTATGTGGAAATAGCGCTTTTAGAAGGCGGCGTAAGTTACGGTTTTCTTGCCTTCAGGAAGAACTTCTGTTTTTGTATAAATTACTAGTGGTGTGCAGTAGGGACTAATTATATTTCTTTCTTTGAGTTTATGAAGTAGCAGTGAGAAAATAAAATCTCATACAATTTTGTTACGGCTTAGTTTTTTGTGTAAAATGTTCTTGGTTGGAGAGTTTTTCTAATCAAGATGAATTTGCTCCGTGTTGTTCTTAATGGTCTTTGATTTGACGCCATTTACTTTTTGATATTCTCTGCTCCCATAATACCATTTTTCTAATTAAATTTACTTCATATTAAGATTTCAGCTTCAATGCTGGAAAAGAAGTTCTGCTGTATTAAGCAATAAGTTAAACAGGAAGATTTGTTAATATAGTGAAGTTATTTATCTTGAATATTTATCTTGAAGTTTTTAGGAATGTGCTTGTGATTAAAATTTTTGGAGCTGAAAATGAAACGGTTAATTTTCGAGATGAAGCCAAAGTTGCCCACTGACATTTGCCTTTGAGAATTAGTAGATTAATCAGCGAGATTTGAATTTGAAGGTGAAAATAAAAAATTTTGGTTGCATTTTGGTCAAGCTAATTTTATTTTCATCAGAATTATAATAAAGCTTTTTAGTTGCTATATTTTAAAAAAAATTTCTTTTAGTATTTTAGGAAGTTGAATTTATAGCGTGGTGTACTGGAGTTAGGAGCATTTAGAAGTTATAGTGGAAAATTCACCTGAACTTCAATTCGCAGCTAAGTTCCAATAGTCACATGCGAACCAAAATGAGATCATGTAAGGTGAGCCCTGCTGAGTCGCATTATTTTGGAGCAAAATTAAAATAAGGCAGCGTAGAGGAACTGACACATAGTAGCCAAATAAATCTTTATAGGATTTCTTTTTAAAAACTTAGATATTGCATGCGCTCTATGTCGATTTTTAGATATTTGCAGCAAAACTGATTACGAGTGGTTGCACACGCATCGTGACAATAGTGTTCTTCTGTAAGAGGAATTTTTTAAATTTGAATGCAGTAGTGGTTTTGGAAATCAACCATTGGTGATTATCACAGGACCACAAAATTTATCTTTCTTGGTAACAGAGCCTTACAAAAGTCGATTTTGAGACACAAATACTACATTTCATCAGAATCATGTCCACAAAAAAGGAGGGATCGCAGAGATCCTGCGTTATTTTTATAAAAAATGGTGTTTTTCTATTTTATTAGTGGGTTTTGACATTCTGTAATTTTCATCATATTACTTAGTATTTTTTTCCTAAACCGTAACGTGATTTTGGAGTATGGATAGACGTTCTGAATTTTTGAAAACGTTAAAACTAGGAATTAAACTTTTCCACCTTTTTTTTTTTAAGGAGGGGAGGGGGAAGGAAACGAGAGCTTCTGTGCCTGAAATCAAAAACTAAGGTAACATGAATGTATGAAAAGTTTTTGTGATACGATGCTAGCGGTGATAGCAGAAGTCTAATTCTGGTCGTTGCAGTATATAGCCAAAATCCTGGGAGAAGTGACACAGTTGTTCTTCAACTTTTTTATCTTTTCTTTTTCAAGACAGTCTCTTACAACCTCAGGAACAAGTTGTTTTCTGTGTGCAGTGCATTTGTATGCACCTTTTTTATTTCTTAAAAATTGATCTTGGCGTTGTTTTTTTTTTTTTGGTGTTTTTTTTTCAGAGCATTATATTCTCTGCATTCTTGAAA